TATCTATAGATATATATCTATAGATATCTATAGATATATAGATATCTATATATAGATATATATATAAAGGAGAAGATTAGGCAAGCAAACACTTTTTTTTTTAACAATAAGATAAGTAAATGAATGAATATATAGATATCTCAGTTAATCTAAACCAAAAGACACCAGGCTAACATAAATAAATAAGTTAAGACTGGAATGAATTACAAACAAAGATATAACAAACTATGCATAGATATAGTTAGACTGTAAGTCAAGCTATGCTTGAATTAATTATTTACACATAACAAATAAACTACACTGAGAAGAGAAAATATACTAAGCAAATAAAGCTAGAAAAAGTTAAGATATATCACAGTTTTTTTTTTTTGTTTGTTTGTTTTATTTCACCACAGCGGAGCATTTAAAAACAAGATTGAGGTCAATAAAAGAACTAAACATTACCTTAAATTTATCAACTTCAGTCTTGGAGCAAGTGGCATGGTAAGACAGAACCTGCAAAATAATGACAGCATCAATTGTTTTTTTTAATCACCACTGTCAAGACAAATGAAAACACTACATTATGGTGCAGGATTTCACTGATGAATCTGCAGCAATATTTGTAGCAACAGCAGCACAGATTGCATCCCCATGTTCCTATCATTTCCTTGGAGAAATACTTCCCACAGTCCTGCAGTATCATATTTAATCATAAATGCTCATTTTTATTCAGGATTGCCATGAACAGAGAAAACACACTCACATTATTTCATTCAGCATTTGTCTCCAGCTATCTCTTCTCTGCTTCTCCTTGAGACACTCGCACTAATCTTCAGACACGCAATAACAGCTGACTAGTGCTGAGTTCTTGCATTCAGGGTGGCAGATGATTTTCTTTTTTACCACCTCTCATTAATTTTCAATACAATCTTTTGTAAGAAAGTTATCTGGAAAGAGAGATCACCGCTTTTATTTTTTTCATGTCTACATTACTGAGGATATATGAGATTAAAGAAATAGATCCCAAGGACAAATGAGTGGTAAAAAAAATCTTATAATTTAAATTTTATAGCAATTATTTCATGTGAATTATGTTTCAATATTTCACTATGTAGTTTGTTGTTTTGTAGTGTACTGGTGCCCTTTAACCCAATGCCAAAATGGAACATTAATAGCAATAAACCAATAAAACCAACATCTGCTGCCCATCAATCTAGGAATGACCAGGGGTCTGATTCATTAAGCCTGGGTACAGGGCCGGGACTAGATGGGGGGCCAGGGGTTGCCATGGCCACCCTACCATTTATTTCCTTCTAATACAGATGGTGGCAACAGTATTATTTTCAAGTAGAATATTCAAAACATTTTTGATATATTAACAATTACTTGACAACAAAAACACTGTGGTTAATTACTGTATGCACATTAATATAATAACATTAAAGATCATAAGTACAGAATTCAAACAAAAATAGATTTTGTGTTTTATGGGGTAAAGAGAAAATTATGTGTCTGCAAGTCATCTAGGAGTCTTCTGATAAAAGTAGGTAAGTAATGACAAAGGAAAAGATGTTCGCCCAAAACCCAAACCTGAAAGAATTTTATCCACTATACCTTTTATTTAGACAGCACCGATATATGAATATTTTCGTCGGTTTGTTAGCAAAGACTGTGGGACAATATAGTTTATCTTTATTTAGAAAATATGGATGTTTTGCTCATTAATATTCCTGTTGGAACATTGTAGATTTACCGAGAGGTGGTGCCTATCTGCTTCCGGCCATCCCTCAGTGTACATTGGTTATTGCCTGTCCACCCTTATAAAAATTTTCTGGCTACGCCATTGCCTGGGTATGGAAAAAAACGGGCCAAAAACCAGCATAACACTTTCCACTTTCCAATTTAAGGTTGTAATCTATCTAAGAAACATGGTACAGAAACACAGAAGGTAGGACTTAAATGGAGGACTTTAAACGTAGTAGAATTGGAAAGGAAGGCATTTTCAGGAGATTTCTTAGCACATGAGGATGACTGGCTTTTTAGCCATTTTGACTCCCTTGAGTAATGTTCTTGGACCTATGGACGGAAGGGTAGCCGGGTGCATTGCTTAGATTAAATACGGGCAATTTTTCCAGATTTCTCCTTTTTTTTTTTTTTTTACTTGCTGATATTAACCATTGTGTGGTTCCTGTCACTGGCTCTCACTAGCATTGATTTTCCCACAGGTCTTAAACATAATCAGCAATTATTTTTTTAGGAACAAAATAGTTCCATGAATTTATTCAGAATCCATACAATAGACTATGTGGTCTTTTATAATACTTTCTTTTATTTGTCCCTTCACTTCCGTGGCTACCAAACGGACAATCCCACTGCAATCACCAACACATCTATTTCTACCTTAGTTAAGATTGGGGTTTGTTCACTCGCTCTGCTGTGGTTGCCACTGCTAACCATTAAATAACACTGATCAGCTGGCTTATTTAAACACACAAAGACAGCCAGTTGGTGCTTTGCTTTGACCATTTATGGTTGAATGTTGTCACAGTTATGGTTCTGTTGTGTTTTCTTTTGAGTGTTCGGTTTTGCTTTGCTCCATGTTTTCTAGTTTTAGTGGTTTTATGCTTATTTTGTTGTGTTTTCTGGTTATTTTCAGGTTTTTATTTGTTGCCCTCTGCTGCCCTCTTGTGTTCCCCTTTTTCCCTAGCTCCTTTCCTGTTCTGCTCTTTTCACACCTGCTCCCAATCTGCTCATTAGTCCTCTCTTTCTTCCTTGGTGCTGATTCCTCGTCTAACTTGGTCCAACTCCGTCTCGCTGAGTCTTCCTCCTCGTGATTGTTTTCCCCAGATGTCTCTATGGTTTCTGGTTTGTTTGACTTTGTTTTCATGTTTTGATTTTTGGATTCCTGCCTAAGTTGTTTGTTTACTCTTTATTAAATCATCAAGAAACTCACCTCTGCCTTCCTCACACAACCAAATCCTGACAAATGTGGGTTGTGGTGTAAGCACGATTTGATGAATCAGAAATATCTTTTACATATGCCGCTTTTGACTTTTTCAATGGAAACATTATTTAATAAATAAACCCCTGCTCCATGTTTAGTTATTAAAAAAAAGAGGATTGATGTTTTGTCCTGATAAAGGAAGTAGTCCTTTCCACTTTCACTCCATGCTTTGTCATATAAGAGCAACTGAGAGCAAGTTCCAAACCTCAATGCAATCCACCAGACCTTATTCAATAACTTTTTATCAACTCTTGTTTTAAACTGACTGTGATTGCTTTACCTCACACCTATGATTAAATTACAATTGAACTCAATCCTGATTAAACTAGAAATACCTATTCAGTGATATTACAGACTATAAAGCACCTGCTTAAGTAAAGATGTCACTACAAGCTACTGAATCATAGGATACACATATGCCTATATGTGGCTCATTTTCTTTCTTCTTTATTTTATTATTCCTATACAATTTGCATTTGTTTAAACCACGTTATACATTTACCACTTTCCTTTGGTCAGCTACATGTTTGTCTATGGGTACCCCTTAACACCAAAGCAAATTCTCCTTGTGTCAAATGCTACTTAGCAATAAAGCTTTTTCTGATTCTGATTCTGAAATAAAATGTAAATTTTTAATCCTTATTGGGTTTTCTTACAATGAAAGGTAATATTTTGGTAGATATGGATCCTAGAAAAGACTAAACCTTTCCTATTTGGTCTTGATTGCGTAAAAAAAAACTAGAACTGGCTGAGATTGCTATTTCTGCTAACAAAATATGTTTATCATGAAAGAAAATTTAATTAAAATTCTATGAAATTTGGCCTCCTTACATCCAAAGCCACAGATTGCTTGGCCCAAGATTTCTTCACCTGGTCGTACATGATTGTGTTGTTGATGCCCAATCCACAAAATATCACAAAGGCCTGAGGAAAAAGAAGTTATAATGAAAAAAAGGCGTTTTTGAAACTCTCAGATAATGTTAAGTGCTATAAAGACACAAAAGAAGCATAATACCTCAAAGAGACGTTGGTCTGCATCGTCAAACGGTTTCCCATCCAATCTGTTCAGAACTTGAGCCACACCTGTTGTATAAAATCAGTTTATGAGGAGATTTAGTTTATCTGGATGCTGATTGGAGTAGAAAACCTCCACTTTGGCTGGAGACTAGAGAAGATCAAATGGACATGTCAACTTAGGAGAACTTAAATAAAATGACAGTAACATGCGCTTCATTAATCGTATCAAACTTTTGCCCGTAATGCTCCCGTGGGAACAAAATTGTCATATCCAACTCCTGCCTTCAAATTGCTTTTCTTTTTCCCTAATTGGAAATACAAACAGGTTACACAACCTTGCAATATTATCTATTAATAACACTCATTGGTTGAAAAAGAATCTTTGCTGCAGTTAATAGCATTTTTCATCATTGTTGAAAGTGAATTGTAAAGGCAGGGCTGATTTCTCTAAAGCATGATTGTTCCTCCTGTAAGCAGCTTGCAAAATTTAATCAGCTGCAGAACATATGTGGCAAAAAACATTAGAAAACTGAATGACTGCTCAGAGAATCACAGTCATCACATTAACTCAAAATGCTCCACATTCCTCACCCCCCAGATCTACAAGCGGTTTTCATGTTCAGTACCCTTTTTTTCCATAGATGACCTCTGCTGCATGGCTGAACAATGCAGTTTGTTCACCGGAGGCGATCCATGGAGGGGGTGTTAAATTTTGCTTAGAGCTTCACAAAACCAGAGCAGAGCAGCAACCAGCTCAGCACTGTGATAAACCGTGAGGAATTTCATTCAGCAAAGGCTGAAGATCTTCATACAGTGGTTGTTTATCATAGCAGGACATGCAGGAAACAGGGCATTTCTATGGTTCAGCAAACAGGCTGTAAGCTAAAATGTTCTATTTGATAGAAGCTACTGAGCTTTAAAGAAAATAGCTTATGTCTTTGTTTTTCTGGCTCAGAATTCAGCAAAAATAACGACTGATTAAAATATAATTAATCAGGTATAACACTATGACCAATGACAAGTGAAGAAAATAACCTGTATTATATCAATAAAGGAACAAATGATGGCTACAGAGATGTTGAAAAAGGAGTTTTTCAAGGTAACACAGAATACATGTCAGATTAAATAATACTACTTATACTTCAGCAATAGTATCTAGGTGTTACTTTATTGTATGTCTCGTACCATGTCTGTTGGTTGTGCTGTTCTTTTTACATCTCTTTGCAGGTGATGAAGCAGACGGAAAATGTTTTATCTCCCTTTTATCTCCTCTTTCTTTCATCTTTTCTCCTTTTTTTCTGTTTTTCCTTTGCTGTACTACTTACATTGCAGTGTCCATATAATCTGTAAAACTCCCTGCATAGTTACAATAAAGCAATTTATATGCATAAACCAACACTATGGTGATAGCCCTACTGCTCCACTTGGGAAAGTAAAATCTGTTGGGCTCTTTTTGGCATCAAGACAATTATACTTATTGCCACATTGACAGACAGGACACTGTTAAAAAAAAAAAAAAAGTAGTTTCTCCCATTAGTTAAAGGTATAGTGGAGGATTTTCCCGATTTTTTTAAAAGACCCACCCTCTCCACTTTAAACAAAAAATGCACATGCACAACCCTGTACCCGCTCCCGAGAGGGAACGCCTATTAAACGCGTGCGAGAGCGTGCACAAGCCCATTTCTACTTATGCACGGTCTGTTTAAAAGTTGCTGTTTGCATCAATCACACAACCTTACTTTCCAAAAGAAGGTTTTAATTTTTCCACTATGTCAGACTCACAACCGGTAAGTGAAAATGTGGAGGAGCATGTGGGACAGCCTTACGTAAACATATCACCAGAATGATCTGCAATTTGGAGGAACACTTATTTTGATGATCCACCCAGAAAAACAACATCATCCACTATACCTTTAAGGATTAAATCTGAAGGGGGGGGGGATACTTTTTCATGGTATTGTGTATTTCCACCTCTGCTCTTACTTTGAGGGAACAAAATTCTCAAACATTTATTTCCACTTGTAATATGTTTGAATATTGATCTTAAAAACTAGCAGACCAATTAAAAGCTTGCTTTGTCTAAATGTAATGACCTGGGATTTAATTTAATTAACAAACCAAATCTAGGGTATCATTTTCAATTGTAAGGAAAGAGATACTTTCAAACGCTTTTGCAAGTTAAAATTGAAAGAAAAAAAAGAGTGGCATGCATTGAAGTCTCAATCACAACACTTTTTAAGAATTTAAAAAGCTTTTTCTGCATATTTCCCCTGTGGCTGCTTCACTCATCTACCCAACATCTCTGACAGGTTATCCAAATCCTGCTGATGAAATAAAAATCACCAAAGCATAGCAAACGCTGTCAAGATCAAGGATCAGCACGGTTTTGTCTGGTGTTAGTGTACCGCCTCACATTCATCCAATCTTTTTCTGCCACGCTTATCCCAGCTGGGGTCGGGAGGGGTGCTGGTGCCTATCTCCAGCTGTCAACAGGCTAGAGGAGGAGCACACCCTGGACAGGTCACCGCCTCACATACAGCAGAGTTTTGCAAATAGCCCAATAAGTTCCATGGTGGCTTCAATAGACCACAGCTCCTTCCACCAGATATATGCTGTGTTTCTTCCAAACAGAAACCAGGACATCTCACTGCTTTAACTCAACAGAAGCTTTCCTCATGCTGCTTCACCATCCAAGCCAGATTTTTGCATCGCATGATCAAAGTTTCTCCTGTCAATAAGTACTCCAACCTCAGCTGTGGATCTCTGCAGCTCCTTAACAACTATCATAGTTTTTTTTTCATTGTTTCTTGGACAAACACCTTGCCTGGTCTCTCTATTTATGAACGATAGGTTAAGCAGTGCTCCAAGGTTTTCTGAATCCTTAAATATTGTTTTGAAATTCTTTACAACTTCCTCCTTGAGCTGTCGCTTCTTGGTGGTGATGATGGTGTTCACGAATGTTCACTAATCATTAATTAGGTAACTTCTATAGCAGTTATTTGCACTAATGAATATAGATCCACATTTAAGATTTTTATTTTATTTTTTTTTTTATGTCATTCTTTTAATTACACCTCACCGTCATGCCACACCTTTTTGGGCTGTTAAATAAAATCTCACTAAAATGTATTTAATTAAATGTGACAAAAACATGAATTGGCTCAAGAGTCATGAATGAATTTTAAAGGGTGTTGAATGTCTAATTATTTCTGTTGCGAATGACTTTTGTGTAATAAAGGGCTCCAATTTTTTTAAAAGCAAATTTGCTTTTCACACTTATGGCTGTCTTCTAAGAAAGAGCTGAGAGGACTTTCATCTCATTTAAAAAAGTAAATCTTGAAAAAAAGTTAGTGCAATTAACGGCGCTGTTTTCAAGGGAAATCTTAATGTATCTGACTAAAATGCTAAAATTTTAAATTTGCCATTAAACGCTATATTAACTTCCAAGGTTGCATTAAAACAAGGGCATTAATAATGTAACTGAATGTAACCTTGACTGAAGAATTTCATGTCTGCTGCTTTGTTTGGGTAATGATTTTTCACTCTGCATCCTCAGGTGCCGCCCACGCCATGAATTTTCTCTCTCTCTTCACTCTTTCCATTCATTTTCTTGCCTTTCCCTCTCCGCTCCAACTGATGCACTGACACCTACGCAGAGACGCACCCAGGTCTTAACCAGCCATCTGCAGCAGATCTGCTGATCACTTTGCACTCGCATAAAACTAATGACTTTCCTGCATCAGATCTCACCGGACCGAGAGGAGCTGCCGTCACCTGCTCGGCGCAGCAATATTCCACCGCCAAAAAGCGGGCGAGGGATCAATGATTTATCAGTGTCATTGTGCTGTTAGCCCGCGGCTGATTCACAGACACAAAGCATGCTGACAGAAGAAGGGAAACTCCTCCTCTACGTGCAGAGTGATGCTGCAGCACAGCATGCAGTCTCAGCTGAACACATGCATGAGCTTCTCCCTCTCCCACTGTTTGCTGAAGCAGGAAAGTGTGCGCATAGTGCTGGATACTGCATTTACAGTATATAAAGGTATTCAACTGTATAATAAGCAACATTTTAGGCCATAAATATGTTATTTTTTAATGTCATCTTTATCATTTGTATGATTTTCTGGGTGTGAGCAAAAATTTCAGGACTCAACAAGTTTGCTACGATAAACATATATAACTAAACAGCTCTTGGATTATACGAAAAACGGCAACATTTTCTAGAGTCCAGATCCTGGTTTCCCCTAAAAAAAAAAGCATTTAGAAAAAGTTCATCTTAGTAATATATTTAAACTGGTCCAATACACCTTTTCCTTATATTCCCCTGCAAATGCAGTACAATCTAAAAAAAACCTTTTTCAAATATATTAAACCTTTTAAAGAGAGAAATTATTTCTATAATAAAGATAAACTTACCAATAATTTGGTGGTTGCTATTCCATATGGGAACACAGAGAACAGAGCGAATGTGGAAGTCTGAGAACTGGTCTGCCTATAAGAAAATAGAAAATTAACAGAGGAAAGATCTAAACAAAGAGTTTGCCTTTAATCGTAAAGCCAGACAAATGTAAAATAAAACTTGATGTATTTCAGATGTCTTCGGAAAATATGTATTTTTCTTATCTGACTCTAGAAGGATTAAGAGAATTCAACTTGCTCTCCAATTCGATTTGGAGCTATGGGCTAATCATGTAATAAAATCTTCACAATACAAAACACTGGAACGTTTAGCATGTATTTTGTCATCTGTGTGTGTAAGAAGCTAAATAATAAATGAATATTTCATTAAAGTTGCAGAAAATCCTAAAAAAAATCATAAGATATTTTATTCTAGTATGTTCAATCAAATCAGAAAAGCATCCTACCTCTAAATAAAACTGCAACAGTCCCACTGATTGAACGCTTTCTGCTTTTGTCAATAGGGCAGAATTTCCCCCTGAAGGTTTTTTTATAGGATTTACATCCCCTTCAGCCCTTTATTAAAGTTCTCTAGATATTTCAAAGTGATCCCAAAACCTTGTGTTCTTACAAAGTTAACAGGCACACAGCACCACAGATCCTGTGCCAATCTTAATGTGGCATGACACGATATTCCACTTGTTAATTCTTTATTTTTTTGGTGGTAAGAAAGAGAAGGAAATTTCCAAAAATGGATCTCAGAGCAGCTTTTTGGCATCTAGGTAGTGGTCTAATGGTTGGAGACTTGGAAATCCTGGATGCAACTATTTCAAAATAACCTTCTGGGCAACTTTGTGAGAACAAATAACTAGCTATCTATATCTATAACTATCTATAAAACTAAGGAAAAAAAAGTATTTCTACAGTTTTCTATCAGCAGGCTTTAGAGATTTAACTTCACCTTCTGGTACAGTACTGGATTGGTTTAAATCCTACCTGAAGCACAGGAACTTCTATCTGTCAGTAGGGAACTTTAAATCAGAGACCAGAAAAATCACATGCAGGGTTCCTTAAGGCTCCATTCTGGTGCACCTTCTTTTTAACATCTACTTGCTCCCCTTAGCTCAGATTATAGCAAACAACAAGTTCAGTTACCATAACTATGGAGACAACACATATCTTTACTTCACAACGTCACCACGTGACCATGAACCCATCAGAGCATTGGCTAGATGCTTAGAACAGATCAATATGTGGATGCACCATATTTCTTTATAACTGAATTAAAAACAAAACTGAGGTAATAATCTTCTGATCATAACTGGTGCAGGGTTATATCACAGCTTCAGCCATTACAGCTAGAAACCAGTGATTATGGCGGAATCTTAGTGTCATCATGGACAGACCTGACCTTTAGAGGCACATAAAAGCAGTTACCAGGTCAGCCTTTTATCATCTGATGATCATCTCCTGGATTAAAGAACTAATGTCCAAGCAGGGTCTAAAAAAGCTAATACATGCATTTATCTGTAGCAGAAATGATTACTGCAGCAGTGTGTCTTCACCCGTGTTCTCATTGGAACTAAGAAAATAAAACATATCAAAACCTGTTCTGAAGTCCTTATATTGGCTCCACATATCTCAGAGAATAGGCTTTGATTGAAATCCTTCTGTTAGTCTATAAATCATTCAATGGATCAGCACCTGAATCCACAACAGATTTGTTGTCAGTGTATCAACCTCCCAGACCACTCAGGTCTTCTAGGTCAAGCCTACCCTGTCCACCCAGAACTAGAACCAAACATGGAGAATCAGCATTTATTTCCTATGCCCCACTTATCTGGAACAAACTCCCAGAATATGGTTAAAGTGCTGAAAGCCAGAGTTATTTTGAGTCAAATTTTAAAATCAATTTGTTTAGAACAGCCTTTAACTGTTGAATTTAAACTGTTAATTAAGGTTTTATTAGTTTAAGGTTCTGATCCAAATGTTTTATTTATTTTACATATTTTTTTTAATATTTATTTGCTTTTATTCTCTATTTTCATTTTTCTTAAATTTTATTATCTAATTCATGTAAAGCACTTTGAATTGTCCATATACTGGATTGCGTTATACAAATGAACTTGCCTTGCCTTGCCTTGCTTTACCTTCCTGATCCTCATCACTGTGCTCACACTCACAATAAACCTGGTCTTCACCCAGCCATAATGACACATTTTAGTTTATTACTAACTCTTTTATAAAACCAGGTAGCAGTGCTGTTCCAAATGCACGCAACTGTAAGATTTTCTACCATTTTTGTTTAAGGTTTAAGAGGTCAACTTGCAGCTGGTTAATAACTGGTTTACAATAGCGCTTTAAAATCTTGGTGATGGGAGTTTGTACCTCAGCATCGAAGCGAGGATCCTGGTAGGCGTCGCTAATGTTCACAGGGAGACCTGTTGATGCCACCAGCTCTGCAATGCTGTTGTTGATCAGCCAGTCTGAGTAGGAAGATTTTTCCATGCTGTCTTTGAAACTTGCAAAATAGATGGAAAGAAAAGAAAATAAGAACAACTGCTGGACCAAATTGAGACTCTGCATTAAGCTTCTCAACAAATATTGTTTTTTCATAATTCTCCTGAAGGTAATAACTTGTCAAAAATAGAATTGGATGAAAGAAAACAACTTAATTTATCTATTTGAACAGCAGATTTGCAATACCAGCTCTTAATTTTTCCCTCTTGAACAATCCTCCAATTTGCTTTGTATTTAATCAACCTCTCATACAGCAGATGTCTGTAAACTTCCCCAGTAGCTCATGAAGTAATGAAAATTTAAAGGTGTGATTGTCTTCTTTGTTGCAAGACAACCTCAACACACTCCATCAAAGAAAAACCTGCATCTTCAAAGCTCACATCATCCATTCACATTAAATAGGGAAGACTTTCATGTTTAAAACAAATACTCTGTGCTGCTGATTCTATCTATCAAGAATAAAGATAAAATGATGCTGATGTTAGGTCATTGCCTCGCTTGGATCCTTTGATGCAATACTGTAGAGAAGGTGCTCACATTGCAGCGCAGAATGCAAAAATATTGGTATGACGCTGTGAGTGCAGCAAGGTTGTCTATGATAGCAGCTATTTGGACCTCAGAGTTCCTGCATGTAGCAAGTAAAAGTCTTAAACCTGAAGTTGTCTTTTTTTGCCTTTTATTAATAAAACAAAAACACTAAAATACAAAAAAACTTGTCTTTAGATTTTTCATAAAAGCTGAGTTAAAATGCAGTGTAGGTGAAAAGACAGTGTTACTCTAAGGTCCAGTGGCTTCTTATCCAGTTATCAGGAGATTTTACTGACTTTATATCAATTTTATATCCAATTAGAAATAAGTAATATTATGTACAGTAGCATCTGTCACTGATCCAATATTAACTCCACTACAAGACAAAATCTAAAATATATAAGCATAATAGGAGTTTATCAATCATTTTTGAAATACTAAATAACTGAAATTATAATAGAAAAAACATCTAAGACACAATAAATCCTGTTTTCTTCTTCTGGATGCATTAATCATATAAAAGTTCGTTCCTCCCTTGGCTCAGATCTCATTAATCGCCACATATGGAAAAGTTGTCTTAATCCAGCTGTGATTTGCGACAAACTTTGAAATTATTTTTATTTAATGTTTCATTAGTTCACTAAATCAACTGGGCCACTTCTTTAGGAAATTAGTTAGGAAAGCTAAATTCTACAATCTCGTTTTTTATAGTTGCAGAATACATGTATGGTGGTTTATATTTGCACAATCTGCTTGTTGTGCGATTCCAAACAGGCTACATGTTAGATTGTGGTTCCTAGAATTTCTAAAGTAGAGGTGGAGCTTTCACTTAGCAGGCTTCTCTTCTGGTGGACCAGCTAGTTTTTGTCCATTCGGTTGATACCCTGTCAACATTTAAACCTAGGTTCAAAATCCACCCTTTGACAATGCTTAGAGAGTAGCCCAGCTTATCTAAATCCATCCATAATGCTCTGCTGCTATAGGTATAGAATGCTGGAAGACATGGTCAGTATCACTCTAGTCTTTTTACTCTTGCTATAGGTTCATGCAATATTATAATTATTGCTGCAATTAATATTTTCATGAAGTCTGATTGACCTGTTACCCTTTCCTAAAAAAAAATAATTTATTGAGGTAATGTTGCGACTTACTCTCTCCTTTTCATCCATTTGAAAGTGTTCAAGGAGTACGGTAAGCACATCTGTGTTTAGATGTGTTTCTATTTCCTGGACAAAGCCACTGATGTGGCTAACTAACAATAAGTACTCTCTTTTTTAATTATATAGAAAGTATCTCTAGGTTATTTGTATAATAAAAAAATATTAGTTTGTTATTTTTACTGGAAAAATACCCTCAGCAACTGCTGTCAATAACTTTATGTTCTGTCTCGGTTTCCGATAAGAAGATACTTTTTTGGTCAGAGCTTATTTGTTTAGTCATATTTTTCATGATAAAGCTACTTGTAACTAACTTATATTATTGCTGATATTATTGCTGATATTAACAATGTGTCGCAATTTTCTTTTATCCTTTTCTATAGAGTGCCCCTTGCTAAATTCTCCTTTGCTTAGTTCTGTTTCTTCTCTGAATGAAGCTACAAAAAGTGTTATAGCCGCCAATAACATTTTACCAACATAATCAGCTGAAATCAATTACTGTGCTAAAGTTAATACTATATTGTAGTGTAGTGTATGTAATTAAAATAAAATCTGACTTAGATTAATGCAATTTAAACCCAATTGGATTTAATATATTTAAATATCATATGCACCTATTTTTGTTATGGTATTTTTGCTAAACTGGTGCTAAACAACGTTTATCTCATAATTTTAAATCATTAAGAGTTCCAGCAGAGGCCAGTTATGGCCACTGCCTTGAGGTGACGATAGAAGCTATGGCAAGCATTCAAGGGTGAGTGGGGGGAGGGGTTATTTGTCTTCCCTTCAAGCTTCTTTTCATCCATAAACAGCCCACACAATATTAAACCTCTTTTCCTCCACTCAGCCATGCCTAGCAGAAGCAAAAACACAGCAAAAAAAATATATATTTTAAGGCTGCCAATGTATACCTTCTGAACAGAATAACTGTATTATAAGTACCACTTTTATTTTATAAAACTATTCTGTTTTTGTTTGTTGTTTTTTTAGGTTTCATTTATTTATTTTTTCCTTATTGATATGAGGGGGACACAGAAACGCTAACTTTTATAATTTCCCTTGAGGATATGATTATTTTGGATTTACAATGTGTTACTTTTTAATAAGAAATGTGAAGGTGAATATGCAAAACTGTTTTCCAGAAATTACTGACGAATAATACAAACCTGCTTTCAGTATCTGCACTGCATTTTGGAGACAGAAGTTCAAAGGACTTGGTGAACTTGACCACCTGAAAGATGTACAGAGCGAAGCATTTATTAAGATTTTAAATAGATTCTACCTAATGAAAGAAAAAACATATATGCAAATGCAGAGACAATTAAACATACACACAGCAGGACGGCAAAGAGAAAGAAAGCAGTACCGGCGACTCAATGTCCTCCAGCAGCTGAACGGAGCAGCGCTCGCACTTTAAAAGAGTCTGGGCACGGTGCATGATCTTCCTGACAATCTTTTCCAGGTCAGTCTGTTCTTCAAACAGGTCATTGACCACCTCTAGGAGTGCCTGAACACCAGGAACAGACAATTATGACACTGGACTTACCCCTTACAATCTGAAAGCTCATGAATGCAAACAGGAAATTTGTTGGCAGGTAAGAGTGAGGTCGCCTTAAATAAACGTGCTGTGCTTTCCTCTGCTATTAGAATCTATTAATCATCATAATTTTTAAACCATAAACCAAAGGGATGATATAGCATGATTGATTTCCTCAATAAAAGTAAATTAGAACATTTATCTAATGCCAAACTGATACCAGTTTACAAGCACACAAAGGGATCTTGTTTTTTTTCTACTCTACTCACTGAACTGTGGTCTCAGTATGCTCTCCTCCATTAAATATGAATGTGCGACATAAATTAGGGGATTTCCTCACATTCCCAAGCAGTATTTACATCCTTCTCTGAATACAGACCCATCCCCCAAGAATGATCCGGAAACATGCTCATGCAAAGCTGCACGGCACTGTGTTTTTCCACTGCGACGCCAGCAAGTGGGCTGCTGCTGATCAATACCAAGCCTCTATGTCAGCATCAAGGCGGGGGGGTGTTATAAAGCCTATCCTTGGAATGGGTGGTTTATCTTCCAATTGGCCTCGTGGCCCTTACCCGACTCCGGTCATACTCCTTTCTGGAGGCAGCGAAGAGTTGAGCATTGGAGATAGCGATTCCACAAAAAGGCAAGTACATCTGCAAGACCTGTGGAGACATTGAAACCTTGGAACCATTGTGACATAATGTGAACCTCTTTATCAAAGAGGACATCCATCCATCACAGGGTACATGTACAGAATATGTGTCATTTTTCCCACTGGCTGCATTATTAATAGCATTTATTGATTTAATCTTCATACAATGCCTTGAAATAGGATCAATGCACGTTTTCTTATTTTGTCACCTACAAATACAACCTCAATGTGCTCCTCGCTATTTATGTTTAGACAAGCAATCCTTAAATGGAAGGAAAATCACTTGTGGTAATAAAAGAAAATAAATAAAGAATACACTACTGCCATTCATATGCATCCACGCCCCTGAGTCAATGCTTTGTAGAACTAGATTTCCCTGCAGTTAAAGCTTCATATCTTCTGGGCTGTCTTAACCCCATTTGCTAATCTACACTCATAAACCACTTTATTCTAGATCATGCTGTTTAAGGTTGTTGTCCTACCCTGAAAATCAAATGTCTTTAACAGCTATTCACTGGTTTTATTCCTGTATTCAGCTTAAATCGTCTTCCCATCTGCCCAGTTCCCTTCTTTCTGCAAAAGAACAGCATCTCCACAGCATGGTGCCGCTCAAACTTTGTTTTCCTGTTGGATAACATCATTTTAAGGTGTGTGCAATGTTAATTTGTCTCGTCTTCAAAGACTCCAGATAAGAAGCACCTAATTGGTAATAAAAGAAAATCATGTGCGACATGATTGTTGATAATCTAGAAAAAATAAATGATCAAACATGCAAGCAGGTTCAGTCTAACCCGTTAAAAGGTTCGAACTGGAAGAAGTTTGAGAGCCGCCATAAAGAGGAAGTTCCAACTATGACTTGGAAGTCATAATGAAAGTAATAAATAAATAATAATAGGGATAGTAATTATGAATATTATGTATAATTCACTTAACAGAAGCATCTCAAAGTGTGGATGGATGAAAATAGCAAACATTACATTTGAAAGATTAAATAGTAGTCAAAATCAGACTTATAGTATGTTAGGATTAGGATTAGGCTCTAAATAGATTTATTTCTACCAATTCCACAGTTCAATCAAAAAAAATGCAAAACATGATAGGATCATAATAATAAAAACACATAACTGATTAATGAGGCTGATAAGCAGTGATTAGAAATAAAAAATGTTCATTTACTAAAGGCTAGGGATGAGCACTTAAGTTAATTTAATGCATTCAGTTAATTCTTTTAATTTTTTCTGCTTTTTTGCTTTGGTTCAATTGCATTTATGGCTGCTCAGTGGATTTGATTCCCATTCCGGGGTCTTTCTGCATGGTGTTGCATGTTCTCCCTGCATGCGTGGGTTCGCTCCTGGTACTCCGGCTTCCTCCCACAGCCCAAAAACATGACTATTGGGTTAATTGGCTTCTCTAAATTCTCCTTAGGTGTGAGTGTGTGCATGAATGGTTGTTTTTGTTTGTCTCTGTGTTGCCCTGCGATTGACTGGCGACCTGTCCAGGGTGTACCCTCTCGCCAATTGACTGCTGGAGATAGGCACCAGCCTTCCTTGCAAGGGATGGGTTTAAATATTAAGACATTTATACTATAAAACATAATTTTTTACCTGTAGTGTTTCCATGAAATATTACTATAGAGACATACGACTTGCACACAAAAAATTGATACAATCAAAAAAGAATCAAATATATAAAAGCTATACTAATTGCAATGCAATTGTGTGATGTAACCTTAGCTTTGTTAGGCTGTTGTACATAACACAAAGTCCTGCACGATTTTTTTGTTTCCATAGTTCCACACTAAAGCCGAAATTGTTTCATACCCCTGGCAGATCTGAATTTTAAATTTTAAAATTCTTTCTACCAAAAATGAGTAATGAGACCGACATTTCTTAAAATATAATCTTTTGAAAGATAATCTTTTTTTGTTAACACTTTAAAAGAAAAATACTATGTTGATTATTATATCAGATCAAGGGTGTTATCATATTATACTCTTCTTCTTAATGAACTGAAACATTCACGGCAATCAAACCCTCTTTAAAACCGGGGACCAGTTCCTTATATGTTTCCTTTTTTTATTTTGACAAATACTCTTTGACAAAGAACTCCCAGTCTTTGCGACAGGAAGGCATTCTTGTAACTGTATCAGATTTAATCCTGAATTCTGGCTATAGGCCATTCCAATAAATAGTACTTTTTCTCAGAGGAAACATGTTTGCAAATGAAACCTATGAATACTAAGCTCATTTAGTGAACAGATGCTGCTGAGCAATAACACAATACCTGATGCTGTTTCAGCTGTCCTGTGGAATACTCCTCTAATGATCTTCAAATAGACGTTAGTCATCAATAAGTCCAGCAAGAGCGGCTTCATTAGTAAGCAGGACGTTTGGGATCTGTCCATGGATCCGCCTGTGGAGCGAACAGCCTAACTCTGAAGGAGAGCTGCTCTTTCTAATTACCTTCTGTCAGGCAACCCATTACAACAGGCTATATTATAAACAATTGAGGGTTTTTAGCCTGGAGCCCTATGAACTGACCAATAGGAAGCAGTTTAATACCAATAATCGTAAAGAAAACGGACTAGCCAAGGCCACATTGGGGACAATCAGTCCCACCGACTTTAACATTTCCTTTTTTTTACAAATGGCATTTCCTATAAAACAAGTCAAGGAAAATTACAAACCACTTTATTTCTCTGGTTGTCTCTTTAAATAACTATGAGGTGACTTAAATTGAACTTTTCATTGCACTCGTGAGAAAAGGTGGTGAGGAGGGTTTTGCCAAGATCTGCTTTCATGAGTCAAACTTTTACTACGATCAAAATTCCAGTGGAAACATTCAAAAAGCTGCGTAGCCATTAAAAAGATGCTTTAATTGTTGTAAGATTGCCTCTGCTGAATAATTGAAAATCCTTTAATTATTGTCAACGTGACACGGTAGTAATACGATGTTAACAGTGCTATTTCTTATTTTTTAATTGAGATCCATTTTTATCTTTTCCTACTTCTTTTTTTATTCATAGGTGTCAGAATAAAGGAGGTCATAGTTTTCAGATAAAAAAAGAAAAGACTGATCATTGCATGCACCTAATCTTAGACTTAGACAAACTTTGTCTATTTTTCTATTGCCTATTATCATTTTGTATACACTGATTTTATACTCTGTGTACCTCTTAACATCCACCTCATTTTGGGAAATTCTCGCCTCTTTTGCATAGCTAAATGGAAAAACAAATAACCTAGGATTATTTTATTTTATTTTTCCTATTTGCTTTGATTCTGTTTTATTTTCCTACATTTTAATTATGTAAAGCACTTTGCATTGTCTTTGTACTGAATTGTGCTATACAAATAAATTTGCCTTGACTTGCCTTGCCTTGCCTTGCCTAGTAACTGTAGGGCCAAATTACATGTGTGATACATTATTTGAATGCTAACACCTTCTACTTTCTGAATATAAACATGAAAATTGGGTGAGTAAAACACAGCCCAAGCCGCATCAGTTCAAACATGACTCAAAGTTGTTTTTTTATTCTCAAAAAAATACAAGGTCTTTTTTGAACAGCAGTAATAAAGACATGCTTGCTTGTTGAGGCTGCTTTGTAATGTTTAGATTTTGACATGCTGCTATATCTTAATTGTTCTTTGGTGGTCACTGTGTTCATAAAATAAACTTGGCGGTTGGATTGTGGACAACTTAAGCTTTCCAACAATGTCTAACACGTCTATATTGGTAAAAAAAAATGTAACTGGGTCATTTTCATGCGATCTGAGTCATTAGTTGTAAACGCTTTAAAACTGTGGGTTTTGAGACGTTAAAACCCTTGTGTTAAAATTATCTTTAATAACATAAATCTTAAGATTTGGGTGAAGCATTTCTGTGAGCATAGACCTTTTAAAGGGGAGCACATTTGTTTTATAGGATCTTGTCTTCTTTATGTATTAAAAAAAAAATGTTACTTGTTAGAAATTGTGTCCCCTTTCCTTCATTGCAGATTACCATCAGTTGATTGGGAGAAGGTGGCAGTTACGTCATCACTCTGAGAGAGTTTGCAACAGACTCCTGCTGAGGTTTAACTGTGTTGCCAGACTGAATACACACAAGTGATCAAGGATCTTTGAAACGGATATTTCTTTATAATGCCAACCTGTGAAAAATGCATTTAAGTGTAACGCAAACCAGAAACAAAATAACCCAATCCCAATCAAAATGATATTGTCAGACGCATGGCATCGCAGGGTCAGTTAGCTGGATTCCTCCACAGAAACGAAATACTCCAATTATAAATTATTCCCTCTCCCCCGAGCTCCTAAATCCTCTTAGGGTATCAACAGAAACACAATAAAGGCAGCGTGAAATGTAAAAAGCAGCTATGTAATATGAAACATCTTCTCAGACGTTTAGGCACAAATTGGTTTAGATAAAGGTTCATTTAAGCCTCTCATGACATCTGCCACTGCTGTATCTGTAATGCTTTCAAAAAGCGTGATTTCTTTTCTTATAACAGGGTCTCCCATAAAAAGCAAAGCTGCAGCTGTGCAGTGCACAGAGCTCACTGCGTTCAGTGATGCTACCATCGCGTTTCATTACTAATTCAGCAGTAGCCATCCAAGGCATTAGTGTAATGTTAATGCAGTGTGAAACATACTCTCAGAACAATGGAAATATGAAAAAGAAAACCTCTTCTATGAGCAATAGATTGCGCATTGGTGTTATTTAGCATATTTTTTTGTTGTGTAACGCAAAAACGGGAAACACTTGAGAAACAAAATGCTAAAATAATAGCACAGCTACTTTTGTCTTTTCTTGTATCATCTTCTCTGCCTTTTGAGTGCTCATGCAACGAGACAGCCAGTCATCCTGTCATAATTTTTCTGCTGAATCAACCGCACTGATGGGCTCCTCTGATACATAAAACACTATTTGTCTCAGGGTCACCACGCTGAATTCCTCTATCTTTGTTATAGACATTCATGACCAATGATTACTTATCTCTGTACTAAATTATTTCACAGCAATGGACTGGCGGACAGGTGTCCAGGGTGTACCCCGCCTCTCGCCCGTAGACAGCTGGAGATTGGCACCAGCACCCCTCACGATCCGACTTGGGATAAGCGTGTTAGAAAAATGGATGAATGGATGGATAAATTGTTTCAGAAAAAAGTCAAACGTGTTCCAAATGCCACTGACGTCTGAAATGTCATGAGTCCTAAACTTTACAATTACTACTAATTTACTGGAGTTATTAATAATACCGTTATCAAATTACATTTCTATATTATTGCTTACAGCTAGAAAAAACACAACATTAAGTTTAGTAAGAAAAGTAAATATTACAAAAGATCCCAAGTAAAGGCAGTCTGGGCGGAGCAATCCCTGCTTGGCGATGAATCAGCTGCTTCATAAACCGTGTCACCAGATGAAAGAACTTAAATCGAGGGCTGCACAGAGGACATAGGTCCTCGATTGATCAATTCCTGGGAGTCTTACTATAACATTAAAACCCAGGAAAACCTTGATTTTTTTTTTTTTTTACCTCAGTTGGGGTTCATTTCCATGAATTGTTAAAGCACTAGGTCGAACTGAAGTTCACACACTGTGAATCTAAACCAAAATGTCAAAAAGTCTTGCTCTCAAAATCCTGCAGTTGTCCTTGTCCACCATTTTCAACCTGAGCTTTTCCCTCCACTGAACTTTCTAATAATACTCTCAGATAGAGCCTAAAGCTGGGAACCTGTAGCTTCTAAAACTCTGATCTGCCTCCTGGCCAGCAGCATCTTCACTAGGTTTTTTTAGGGAATAAAAAGGACTTAATATGTTATAGGTTCTTTATAAATCCTTTTTTATTAGTGTTATGAAAGATTTTCCTTTTCTACGAAAATAGTTTTGGAATTGTTTTAGCTGCAAATCATTATTCAAACAAATGTAGGGGTACTTATTCAAGAATTAAAATATCTAAATAGATATAATTTTCAAGGATAATCTAATAGTGAAAAAAAACATTTAACTGGTGTTATAGATAATAAATGCTGCAGCGATATTTGACACAATGGCTGTTCTACTCTGCTGTCAGTTAACCAATGTGAGGTTGAAAAAAGCAAAGGTGAGATTTAAATGAATGTTGTTACCACGGTGTTCTCACCCCCTGGAACACTCAGCTTAGGAAAGATTTCATAATGACTCCCGGTGACCCAGCCAGGAAACTCAAACACTAAGTTCTGACATTAAATCCGTCTGCAGACACGTGAATTGATTACTCTTATGCAGTTAGGGTGGCACATAGCACTAACATTCAAACCGTACACAGAAACTATATGCAAGGAGAACATGTTTACTGCTTTAAATTGAAGAATACAAGGAAAAGACAAAGAAGGGTTAAAGAACATTATATCCCTTCTACAGCAAGAAATCCTTCACATCTGCTAGTGTCTCTCTGTGTGGAGTCGCAGGTTCTTCCTCCCCAGTTCCTTCAGCTCCACTAGCCCTACCCCTGCTGGTTTTACTATAGGAAATATGGCTCTCTGCCAAGAGCAGCATGATCTATGGGGAGCCAGCAACTCAAAAAGAGTTATGTCAGCCTTCCTTTGCTTCATTGCAACTATTTCAACAAGGAACAGTGTCCCTGAGGATTTTCCCTGCCTGAGCACCATGACAAGTTGATCTTCTATCCTGCAGCTTTTAACTGGGTACTAAGTATAACTATGGTGTTTTGAGTACATCTTTCAATTTAATTTTCTACATTTGTAAAATAACACACATACACTCAAACATAAGTTACACCTTTAGCAGACTTAATAAGACTCTGCGTGCTTAACTGACAACAGTTATTACAAGAATTGATAAATAATTGAATTTTATTGATCTCCCATTGGAGAAATTTACCTCTGCATTTAACCCATCCCGTTAGGGAGCAGTGAGCTGCCATCTTGGGGCGCCCATGGAGCAATCAGGGGTTAAAGGTCTTGCTCAGACACCCAGAGTGGCAGTCTGTGGGTTTCAAACTCACAACCTCAGGATTCTAAGCTCTATATCCTAAAAAAATAGGCCGCTGCTCCCCTCATGTTACTCAGTTACTCATGTAAATGAGTAAATGTAAGTGGCTACCAGATCCAAAGGGGAACTTCTAAATGGCAAACATTACTTCCAGACAAAATAATCTTGATTTTAAATTAAAATATAAAATTAAATCAATACCTACACATGGTATAAATAATTTGTTGCTTATGCATGGGTGATGTGCAGAGCCATTTTGATAGGTTATTTATTTGTGTGTCCCATTTTGCTAACATAAAAAGACAACATATTGAATCGCAGCATGATTTATGCTAGGGAACAAAACATAATGTTTAAAATATTTCATGCATGTAGGTCACAAACCAGAGAGAAATACTAAAAAAAGCAAAAAGAATCTCCTTTTTAGTTGTTTTTATATCTCTGCTACTGTGAACTCATAAGTGTTACAACACTGACATTAATAAATGATGACAGTTTGTAGCCCCGTTATTGTCTAACCCTATGCATAGTGTTTGTCCCAAAAAATGTGAGTAATATCCTTGAAAGGCCACAAATGAATCACAAAGTAGTTCAGTACTCCAGGCTTATATTTCTCTTTGTGCAGTAATAACAAGTCCAAGAGTCTGGAGTCTGGCTTAAAGCTTTATGAGGCTGTAGTTAAGCATCAGTGTCGGTACCTGTTTAACCCGGGTGATAAAGGGGTAATCAGTGGTGGAACAATATTCTTTATCACTTTACAAAATTTCACTGTAAAGCAAACTGAGAAATGTAGATAAAAGGGGTCAAAATGTGGCTTTAATATGGCAGGTTAAAGTGTTGTTACATTACACTTTGCATTTTATTTAAATAAACCAAAGAGCAGAAACAGCAACTTAATTAATTTTTTTAATTATGTTTTAAAAAATGCTATGGCCTGTTTACTGTTTGTGTAAGTTTTATTTCATAATCCTTTCTTAGTTCTGCTACTCTGGGCCATTTTTCCCAACAGACCACACATGCAGATCTCATACATTTTCCTCCTCAAATTTCTCCACTTTGTCTATACAAACAGAATCAAACTGAGCTCTGTGATTGGATGCCCTTTGGACTCAGTATAGGAGGTGGGAAACAAAAAGACCTTAACAAAACATCTCCGTGCACAAAGCTGTTGCAGAACTGGAGAGCTCCTTCAGTGACAGACTGCTGCACCCTAAATGCCCCAGGGAGCGTTATCACAGATCCTTCCTCCCAGCAGCGTAAGACTTTATAACCACCACTGTTCTCAACAACCTCAATAAGTTGTTACAATCATGCCGATTTTTGCAGTTTCTGTGTTAGTCAGTTAAACATGCTGCTGTCAGATGTCAGATGCTGTCACATCTCTGGTGTTGCTGCTATTTTTCCCCCACTTGCACTACGGTAGAAACTATTATAAAAAATTGCTATAATTATTAATTCTCCAGATGCACAGCATTTATATTGTAAAAACACTGTACAGTACAGTATTTTAATTTGTTTATTTTCATAAATCTGTCATGTATTGTGTTGTTTTTATACACTTTTTTAAGGTCCGCATTTGTCTGACCACTTCTGCTATAATCTTTTGCTGCTGCTGCAATAACACCACAATTTCCCCATTGTGGGACAAAAGGGGTTTTCTATTCTAATTATTAAATAAATTATTATAAAACTGAAAAAAAATCACTTTTGCAAATATCTTTATAAAGCCCGTATTAAGATATTAAGGAAAAAACGTACCTAGTAAAAAACGGAAGGAAGGAAGGAAGGAAGGAAGGAAGGAAGGAAGGAAGGAAGGAAGGAAGGAAGGAAGGAAGGAAGGAAGGGTAAACTATTGGTATTCCAGGCTTTGTCAAACTCTTTCAGACTGCTTATAAACTCTGGTATTAATAAACAATATGTTACAGAAAAAAATTTTGATTCTTCTTCCTAATAATTACAGACTTTTATTCTCTATGTCTACTTCTTGAGAAAATACTGATCAGTGAAACTAAGAGATGGCAGGACAACATCTTAACTGTTTTCTCTAGTCAGTGAGTGTAAGATGGATCCAATCTATTAAAAAGCTGCTTCTTTTATTTTTTTCGTTTAAATAAAACACGAGAGTATAACCAACAGAGAAAGAAAAGATTTTTCATTTTTGTTTTAATTTTTGTTTAGAATCAATGGAGACCACAAAAAACATCAAATGTTATAGCCTTGTTTTTTGGTCGCTGTTCCTCAGCACTGTTCTATTTGTATACAACTTGGAAAAGTTTTATTTAAAAATGTAATAAAGATGTTCCTTTTAAAATAAAAAGAAATGGATTATTGTGAGGGAAAACCATAGGACAAATACTGGAAACTTCTGCATTCAGATATATCAACCAGGCCATATAATAGGAAAACTATAAAGATAAAATTACCTTTTCATCATCCTCAGTAAAAAGTTCCCCACTGGAAGTCTTGTTGATGGCCTGAGCGACTCCAATGATCTCACCATCGCTGTTGCGAATGGGCATGCATAAAAGGGACTTGGTTTTGTAGCCCGTCAGCTTGTCAATTTCATCACTGAATCGGCGATCCTGCAAGCATAAGCACAGTAGATAAACAAAGACACACGGTAAACATGGCTGCTGAAAAGCTGCTCTTCCCTTCTGGTGTTTCCATGAGACAGGAGACCAGAACCTGTAATGGTTCTCCAGCAGTAATGACAGAACTTTAGGGGAGATTTCTGTTAAAACTACTGTAGACTAAAGGAGTTTATAAAGAAAACTTACTGTTCTATACAAATGGCTGAACTTACCCTCAAACACATTTACTTTCTCATGCAAAAGATAGATTAACACAAAGTAGTATATAACTAGGAAGTGTAAAGAACTGTTAAAATGTACATTTTGGGGTAAAAAATAAATATCTGAAAGGTGTTCATATATATTTAGCATTTTTGCATGTAATCCACCGAACTCAACATGTCTGTGAAGACCAAAAAGAATAGTTCAAGAAGAGACCCTCAATGAATGAACAGGATTATGAAATCACCATTAAGGGACACAGAAGATAAGCCTTCATGTTGTGGAGAAATTTAAAGTATGATTACCTAATAAAAGAATGTTCAAAACCCAGCATATCACAGAATATCATCTTATCTAAAGAGAAAATAACGCATGGCACAGCTGCAAATCCCACCAACCACCTAAAGTGGTGACTGTGACCCACAGTTTAGTTGAGAGAATCTGTATGACTGCTATTAATTGGGTCTCTTTTTCTGTGTAAATCTCAATGTGTGATAGAAACAAACAAAAAAAAAAACCTGACCACAGAATTCCTAAAACAACACATGGGAAATACAGTAGCAGCATCATGATGTAGTGTCCTCTCATTCAGAACCATCAGAGCTGCAAAGCAACTAAACCAGTTTGCTCTCCAAAGCTACATAGAAATATTTCAAATTTGTTTGGATGGCCTAGTCAAAGTCCAGATTGTAGAAACTTTGGCTATTCATTAAAATTGTTAATAGATGATCTCCAGACAATCTGAGTATGAAATTTGGTGCAAAACAGACGAAATGGTGGTTTTATTCCCAAAACATGCCTCTGGGCTCAGGTTTTTATTTGTAAAAGGGTTAAAAAGTTGGATATTTTACACTTTTTGTACTATTATATGTTGGTCTTTCACATAAAATGATGTTTTTGTCTCAGATGGCTCAGTTAAAAAAGTAAGAACTAGAGACTGGAAGTAGATGGACATTCTGCAACCCTCAGTCTCTAAGTTACACATCACAATAAATGAGCAGGCACCTGATAGGCGTCAGGGATGTTCACTGTCTCTCCATGCTCAGCCACATAACCAATGATTCCTTTCCCCCATGGAACCTGAACTTCATCTGAGTTCATGGAGGGTAAAACGGTGGTCCCTGCGTGCACGTCAAAGAATTTAGACACCAGTGTTTTCTTGTTGCCAGTTCCTTCCACTAAAAACAAGGAGCACCGGTCTGCATCCACCATGATACAAACAAACACCAGGATTTTGTAGCTGAGGCTGGTCAGGTCCAGGTCGTTGGATATGTCTTTCACCAGTTCCAAGAAGAACTCTCTCTCGCTGTGCTCTTTGAGGCGGTATTTAAAATCCACAGCCGTGGCCGGGTACTGGGGGATGTTGACTCTGGACTCCAGCAGCGCGCTCAGGATGTGCGCGGTGGTCGGTGGCAGGGAGCTCGCCTTCCTCAGCAGAGCTCTCCTCCTCATGCTGGTCAGAGGCTCCTGCGCCCTGGTGTTGACGTGCTCATCGTAGGTCCTATTCACGTTAATGGCTTTAGACCTGGCGAAAGTTTTGCGCAGCTCTTTCTGAGACGCTCTCCTCTGCAGACCGTCGCACTTGCTCGCCCAGCTGTCCTTGCACGCGCCGCGCTTCTCCTCGGCGGCGGCTGCGGGCGCAGCGGCCGCCGGACTCTTACTCGCCTGGTTCTTCTTTAACCATTTCTCCACCATGCTGTAATTTCCTTTCCTGTTTAGGTAGTCCTCGAACAGGTCGGGGTGCGAGTCCAGGAAACTTTCTACGTCAGAGAACAGCATATTCGACACTGCCATGTCCGCGCTTCGGATGGTCCTCAGTGAACCAAAGCCATGAAACTGCGCACAGAAATACCATCTATGAGGATTTACCAGACCAGGTTAAGAAGGCAGAACCGTGCAGATGCAACAACTTCCACGATGCGCATAAAAGGAAAGAAAAGAAAACCTCTTGCGCTGCAAATCCAGGTCCTTCTCTGTGCGGAGAGGAATGGGGAGTCCGTTTTTGCGCACCTGCGTCTTTCTCCACATCGCTCACCTAATTGGGGTTTATTCACGCAAACTTAGTGGTGGGAAAAGTGAGAGTAGTGAGAGCACAGCCCCGATATTTCGCACTCCCCTGGTTTGTGTCCTCTTGTGCGGATGACGCGGGCTGTGGTTGGCTGATGCTCTCTTCGTCACAGTCAGGGAGCTCAGGGTGGCTTCAGCAATAAGGCTCCTGGCCGTTTGAACCACTGGCCCTCCCCTTACAAGTATTATTATTATTTATTATTTTAAAATACATTTAAAACGCATCTTATAGATAGATAGATAGATAGATAGATAGAT